CCTCTCTGGCAGGCGACGGCGCTCACTACGTAAGTTGAGAAACAACTAAAAACTATAAACTCGAAGGCCGCGAGACTCTGAGACCGTGGCGAGACTACTGGAGCAGATCAGTGCCCTTCGGGGCTGGCGACGATCACAGTATTGTTGTCAATCGTGTCAATGACAGTGTCAATGGAATAGATCCTCGGACTCGGGATGCGGCACAAACGGTTCGACTTGATCTTGGCCTTGGCCTTTGCGAGCTGGTCTGTCTTGCGCTTGAGCTGCTTACGGAGCGAACGGATCACTGCGTTCCGTTCTTTGATCCTCGCGATGAGCTCCTCACGAGTGCGGGCGCGCGGCATGCCCAACTGAAACTGGCGAGTGCCAATATCAAGACGGGCAGCAGCACCTACGAACCACAAACAGCTTCGGTGCTGTACTGGTGATGTTGCTGTACTGGTGCTGTTGCTGTTGCTGTTGGTGGTACTGGTGCTGTTGCTGTTGGTGCTGTACTGGTGCTGTTGCTGTTGGTGGTAGTAGCGCCCTTCTCATCCTCCTGTTCCTCCTCCTCCCCCTCCTTTTCGGCAGCGGCGGCAATTACCATGTACGCATTGGGAGGTTGCGGTGATGACGGCGGCGGCGGCTGCGACGGCGACGAAGAAGGCCACAGGGCCTCCTTCGCGAGGCATAGGGGTCAACGCTGGCAGCCCCACAAGGGCTCAGAGTCAACATTGAAAGTCGTAGGCCCCCCTGGGTTCGCAGCCTACCCATGGAGGCCTCGTGGTGCCTCCTGGGGACCTCCTGTGGGCCATCTGGACCATCTGGGGACCTCTTGGGGCCACACGGTGGACCTCTGGGGGCCCTCTTGGGGGGCTTGCATGAGCGCTGCCCCTCCTCCTGGTGTGACTCGTTCGGGCTCCTCGTGGTGTGAGTCGTTCGAGGCCCGCGTCGTGGTGTGAGTCGTTCGGGGTCCTCGTGGTGTGAGTCGGTCGGGCGCCTCGTCCTGGTATGAGTCGTTCGGGCCCCTCCTTGTGGTGTGAGTCGTTCGGGCTCTTCGTGGTGTGAGTCGTTCGGGCCCCTCGTCCTGGTGTCAGTCGTTCGGGCTCCTCGTAGGGCCTCTTGGGGGCCTCTTGGGGGGCCTCTAGGGGGCCTCTTGGGGGCCTCTTGGGGGCCTCTTGGGGGCCTCTTGGACGCCTCTTGGGAGCCTCTGGGAGGCATCTTGGGGCCTCTTGGGGGCCTCTTGCGACCTCCGCAGAAGCGCAAATGAGCGCGAGCCCCTGCGAAGGACAAAATGAGCCCAAAACCTTCGTAAAATCAATGATTTTGAGAAGAAGGAAGAGGAGCGCTGCCCCCTCAGAAGGGCAAAATGGGGCCGAAACCGTAGTAAAATCAATGACCTCTGGGGGCTCTCTTGGGAAGCTTGTATGAGCGCTGCCCCTCCTCCTGGTGTGACTCGTTCGGGCTCCTCGTGGTGTGAGTCGTTGGAGGCCCGCGTCGTGGTGTGAGTCGTTCGGGCTCCTCGTGATGTGAGTCGGAGGCCTCTTGGGGCGTCTTCGGCGCCTCGTGGGGCCTCTTGGGGGCCTCTTGGGGGTATCTCGGGGGCCTCATGGAGGCCTCGTGGTGCCTCCTGGGGACCTCCTGTGGGCCATCTGGACCATCTGGGGACCTCTTGGGGCCACACGGTGGACCTCTGGGGGCCCTCTTGGGGGGCTTGTATGAGCGCTGCCCCTCCTCCTGGTGTGACTCGTTCGGGCTCCTCGTGGTGTGAGTCGTTCGAGGCCCGCGTCGTGGTGTGAGTCGTTCGGGGTCCTCGTGGTGTGAGTCGGTCGGGCGCCTCGTCCTGGTATGAGTCGTTCGGGCCCCTCCTTGTGGTGTGAGTCGTTCGGGCTCTTCGTGGTGTGAGTCGTTCGGGCCCCTCGTCCTGGTGTCAGTCGTTCGGGCTCCTCGTAGGGCCTCTTGGGGGCCTCTTGGGGGCCTCTTGGGGCCTCTTGGGGGCCTCTTGGGGGCCTCTTGGGGGCCTCTTGGGAGCCTCTTGGACGCCTCTTGGGAGCCTCTGGGAGGCACCTTGGGGCCCCGACGGGGGCCTCTTGCGACCTCCGCAGAAGCGCAAATGAGCGCGAGCCCCTGCGAAGGACAAAATGAGCCCAAAACCTTCGTAAAATCAATGATTTTGAGAAGAAGGAAGAGGAGCGCTGCCCCCTCAGAAGGCCAAAATGGGGCCGAAACCGTAGTAAAATCAATGATTTTGGCTTCACAGAAGAGGAGAGGGTTTTTTCAGAGCCCCCCCGTCGGGGCCAGAATCCTCGTGAGGGTCGTCGTTTTTTGGCCCTCCCAGGAGTCGAAAAAGACCCCCCTGAGAACACTCGGGACTCCCTGTCCAGGCCCAGGGGGAGGGGGTAGGGGGAGGGGTAAACCCCTCCCCGAAGGGGAAGAAGGGGGGTTGGGGGGTTGAGGACAGAGAGAGCTCTCTAAACCACTCACGCCCAAAGGGCTGGTGGGATTTGTTTATATGATGGTGGGAGTCGTCGGGCCTCTTCGGCCCTTGGCCCCCTGGCAGCCACCGTTGAGCCGTAAAATTCTTTTGCGGTTGGCTCCGGTGGTTGTGTATATGTATATGCCAGGGGTGCTGTGGCCGGATGGGCTCTACAAGGCCCGCCGCGGGGGGAGTAAATCTGCCCCACTCTGCCTCATATTAATATCGCATGCTCTTACACTTGCATGTTGTGCACTGTCTGACTTGAACTTGCGCTGCATACTGCAGCTGTTTGTTTACTCAAGCGAGCTATTCGTTTGCTTGCAGGAGAGAAGAGGTGCGAGCTAGCCCGCTCGCGCGCGCCGCGGGGTCGCCCCCGCGTCGTTGTCGTGTCGCTGGCCGGCCGGCCACCTCCTTTACCATTCCTGACATAGTAAACTTGCTTACCGGATACTTGTCTTATCGATGTCACATCCCGTCCCCTCTCTCCCTGAGCAGAGTGAACATGAGATCTTAATTCCTTTGGCATCTTACCCCGATTCTCAGAGGAAAGACTCAGGGCCGCCGTTTTCGACACGTTAAGCAACAATTCCCGACCGTATTCGGCTCCAGCGACAGCCCAACGGTGCCCACCCACTCAACGCGCGACCCTCCGCGTCGGTGACCGGGCGCACGTAACACGCCCCGCCCTCGGCTGGTTGCTGGTCGCCGCGTCCGCCCACCGTGTTCCTTTTATAGAGGGTATCCCGGCGTAGGTTGCACGCGTTCTGTCCTTCACAGGATGAATTATTCCTTTCGCTTCGCGGGGGGCACGTTTGGAACACCAACACACTGGGCGTTGGGTGGTTTGCCCTGCGCGTCTACCGCAAAGTTCTGGCCGCCCTGGGGCGCTGCCAGCGTCTCGGGGGCGGATGCGTCCCCGCCGTTTCAGCGCTGGGGCGAGCGTGCGAATGTCCACGGGCGATGAATGTTCACCGCGTGTCAGCATGAGGCAGCGCCAAGTTCGAACTGCGACGAGCATATCAAAAGCGCGCTATTTGTATGTAGTTCCGCGATGTTTTTTGTTTTTGTTTTTGCGGCCGTTTGGGGCTTCATTCGGCGGCCTCTTGGGAGTTTCTTTGGGGCCCCTGGGGGCCTCTTGGGGACCTCTTGGGGGCTTTTAGGGGGCCTTTTGGGGCCTCGTGGGCCGTCTTGAGGCGGCTTCGAGCCAAGGTCCCGCCGACAAGCGAGCAGCCCTTGCTTTATTGTCCCTCGCGCTCGGCGGCGAGCCTCGGGGGGAAGAGAGGGGGGGCCAGCCTTTTCAGAAGATTCGGAAGGCCTCCAGTATCTAGTGACCTTCGGCCCATCCCGCCACAATGCCTGGGCCTGGGTTGTGGGTGTGAGGCCGCTTTGATGTTCGTGGGATCTCGCGGGGGGCTTCTCGCGGGCCCGTTGGGAGGCAGATTTCTGGGGGCCTATTTGGGGCCTCTTGGTTGCCTCTTGGGGCCTCTTGGAGGCGTTCTGGTGGCCTTTTAGGGCTTCCTGTGGGCTTCGTGGGGCCTCCTGGGGACTACTTGGTCCAGAAAGCTCGGATTTTCGGTTCGTGTCTTGGGCGCCTTTTGGTGCTGTCTTCGGACTGGGCCGTCTTGGGCGCCTGTTGGGCCGTCTCGGGGCCCTCTGGGCCCGTCTTGGGGATCTCTTGGGGGCCACTTGGGTTGTCTTGGGGTGGTCCTGTGGGCTTCTTGGGCCGTCTCGGCGCGTCGGGAAGCCGAAAAGGCGAGAGCGGTAAACTCATCATACGCCTGAGGGAATCTAATGTTTTTGTTTGTTTGTTTTTGTTTGGGAGAGGCTCTTGGGGCTCTCTTGGGGCGTCTTAAGGGCTCTTGTACCGTTTTAGGATAATCTTGGGCGTTTTGAAGCGATCTTTCGGCGATTCGGAGCATTGTTGGACCATTTTGGCAGCCTCTTGGGCTCCTCTTGGACCATTTTGGGGCCCTCTTGACTCTGGGCGGCGAAACAGTCACGCGGAAAGCTGCGACAAGATGCGAGAAGCCCCGAGAGATTTGAAGCGAGGGGTCCAGGTGCTTCTTCAAGAATCAACCCCCAGGAGTGAGAAGTGAGGTTCAGAGGATGAGACAAAGGACCTGAGGATACGCCCAGGCCCCTCGGAGGCCCCTCGTGGGCTCCTCGGGGGCCTTTCGGGGGCCCCTCGGGGGCCCCTCGGCCGTCCTCCCTCTCGATCCTTCCCCTGCTCCTCCTGCTGTTCCTCCTCCTGCTGCTCCTCCTCCCCCTCCTGCTTCCTCCTGCTGCTCCCCCTCCTGCTTCCCGTCCTGCTCCTCCTGCTGCTGCTCCTGCTGCTGAGCCGCTGGTTCGGTTCGGCCGGCTCGGTTCGGCGAGCCGATTCGGTCTTGCAGGTTCGGTTCGTCGGGCCGGCGGTTGGGTTCGCTTCATTCGCTTCTGCTGGTTCAGGTCGAGGGCAGGTCCGGTTTGGCAGGTTCGGGTCGAAGTCCGGTTCTCGGTTTTCGGTCTGGGTCGCGGCCATCATGCATAAATTGTGGGCTGGGGACCCGAAGGCTTCGCTCCCCAGCGCCAGGGTTTCGAAATCCGTTGCACGAATCGTGGCCTGGGGAGCTTTGATTCATGGCGCTTCAGGAGGGATCGCCTCCTTCGGAGGGAGAGAGTAGTATCGAATGTCCGTGGAGGGGCAGGAGTCCTGAGACCCCCAAAGGGAAGCTGCCTTCTGCCGCATTCTTCAGACCATTGGGGGAGACGCGTTCAACATGGCTCTTCTGATAGTCCGTAACCAGTTTGGCTCAGGCTTGGCCCGCGGCATCCGCAGAGCGGTTGGAGACACAGGCGCGCCGAGTAGCTTTCCCACTGGGGGCCATGGCTCGCTTCACCCTGGCCATCTTACTGCTGTCCGCCCGCGCGCTGGCGGACGCGGGGTGCGTCGCCGACGGCACGTGCCCGACCTATGAGGCCGATACCTCCGCGCTTCTGCAGAGCCGGGCCTCACGCTTCGGAGCTACGCTGGCGCGGACGACGTGCCCAGGGAGCAACACCTCATGTGCCGGCAACCAGTGCTGCCCCCGCACGGCTGGGCAGCACGGGGGGGACAAGACTTTCTCGTGCCCGAGCGCGGATGCCGGCTGGGACGGCTGCGAGACCGGCGTCGCAGCTCTCGTGCAAGCTGATACGGTGACGTGCCCAGGGAGCAACACCTCATGCGCCGGCAACCAGTGCTGCCCCCGCACGCCCGGGCAGCACGGGGGGGACAAGACTTTCCCGTGCCCGAGCGCGGATGCTGGCTGGGACGGCTGCGAGACCGGCGTCGCAGCTCTCGTGCAAGCTGATACGGTGACGTGCCCAGGGAGCAACACCTCATGTGCCGGCAACCAGTGCTGCCCCCGCACGCCGGGCAGCACGGGGGGGACAAGACTTTCCCTTGCCCGAGCGCGGATGGCTGGGACGGCTGCGAGACCGGCGTCGCAGCTCTCGTGCAAGCTGATACGGTGACGTGCCCAGGGAGCAACACCTCATGTGCCGGCAACCAGTGCTGCCCCCGCACGCCGGGCAGCACGGGGGGGACAAGACTTTCCCTTGCCCGAGCGCGGATGCCGGCTGGGACGGCTGCGAGACCGGCGTCGCAGCTCTCGTGCAAGCTGATACGGTGACGTGCCCAGGGAGCAACACCTCATGTGCTGGCAACCAGTGCTGCCCCCGCACGCCTGGGCAGCACGGGGGGGACAAGACTTTCCCTTGCCCGAGCGCAGGATGCCGGCTGGGACGGCTGCGAGACCGGCGTCGCAGCTCTCGTGCAAGCTGATGCGGTGACGTGCCCAGGGAGCAACACCTCATGTGCCGGCAACCAGTGCTGCCCCCGCACGCCCGGGCAGCACGGGGGGGACAAGACTTTCCCTTGCCCGAGCGCGGATGCCGGCTGGGACGGCTGCGAGACCGGCGTCGCAGCTCTCGTGCAAGCTGATACGGTAACGTGCCCAGGGAGCAACACCTCATGTGCCGGCAACCAGTGCTGCCCCCGCACGCCCGGGCAGCACGGGGGGGACAAGACTTTCCCGTGCCCGAGCGCGGATGCCGGCTGGGACGGCTGCGAGACCGGCGTCGCAGCTCTCGTGCAAGCTGATACGGTGACGTGCCCAGGGAGCAACACCTCATGTGCCGGCAACCAGTGCTGCCCCCGCACGCCCGGGCAGCACGGGGGGACAAGACTTTCCCGTGCCCGAGCGCAGACGATGGCTGGGACGGCTGCGAGACCGGCGTCGCAGCTCTCGTGCAAGCTGGGCAGGGAGCAACACGTGCTGGCAACCAGTGCTGCCCTCGCACGCCTGGGCAGCACGGGGGGCAAGACTTTCCCTTGCCCGAGCGCGGATGCCGGCTGGGACGGCTGCGAGACCGGCGTCGCAGCTCTCGTGCAAGCTGATGCGGTGACGTGCCCAGGGAGCAACACCTCATGTGCCGGCAACCAGTGCTGCCCCCGCACGCCTGGGCAGCACGGGGGGGACAAGACTTTCCCTTGCCCGAGCGCAGACGATGGCTGGGACGGCTGCGAGACCGGCGTCGCAGCTCTCGTGCAAGCTGATACGGTGACGTGCCCAGGGAGCAACACCTCATGTGCCGGCAACCAGTGCTGCCCCCGCACGCCCGGGCAGCACGGGGGGGACAAGACTTTCCCTTGCCCGAGCGCAGACGCCGGCTGGGACGGCTGCGAGACTGGCGTCGCAGCTCTCGTGCAAGCTGATACGGTGACGTGCCCAGGGAGCAACGCCTCATGCGCCGGCAACCAATGCTGCCCCCGCACGCCTGGGCAGCACGGGGGGGACATGACTTTCCCGTGCCCGAGCGCAGACGATGGCTGGGACGGCTGCGAGACCGGCGTCGCAGCTCTCGTGCAAGCTGATACGGTGACGTGCCCAGGGAGCAACACCTCATGTGCCGGCAACCAGTGCTGCCCCCGCACGGCCTGGGCAGCACGGGGGGGACAAGACTTTCCCTTGCCCGAGCGCAGACGATGGCTGGGACGGCTGCGAGACCGGCCTCGCAGCTCTCGTGCAAGCTGATACGGTGACGTGCCCAGGGAGCAACACCTCATGTGCCGGCAACCAGTGCTGCCCCCGCACGCCCGGGCAGCACGGGGGGGACAAGACTTTCCCGCGCCCGAGCGCAGACGATGGCTGGGACGGCTGTGAGACCGGCGTCGCAGCTCTCATGTGAGCGTGATTCATCTTGTTAATTTTCCGTGCTGGCCAGAGGGCACCGCTTCAATGCGCACGCTGCTTACGTTGCCTGTGTCTGCATCGAGACTCGCCTGCGTCAAGTCAGGGCCCTTGGTTTCCGTCTTGCAATGGCAACGATGGCGCATCTGTTTCATCTCGAATACCTAGTGTGTGCACCTCCCCGACCCGATCAATTTCTCACATTGCCAATTGTACTCCCGCCTTTCATCCTGCGCACTTTTGCGAGAGAAGAGGGTTCGCCGATCGCAGCGCCCGTGCCTTCAGACTTGGGCACGTCTGTTGAAGTGTCAACGAGGGCAACGTTTTTGCAACCATGAGTTCGCCACGCACGGACGTGCAAGCATCTGCAGCTGACGGCCAGCCAGCTGACTGGCAGCTGTAGATCCGACTTTGAACTGCCAGCTGACAGGGGCTGTATAGCGCATGCATCCAATTGCCTGCGCATCCATGGGTCCCGCATACATACTAGTTCGCTCGCACCGCGGCGCCGCGGGTTGCAAAACAACGATGTTGATTCAAATGCCGTTATGCATGCTTGGTACTGTTGCGCACCTGTGCGGTTTTTATCGAAGACGCCTACGGCGACTCACCGCCGTCCCTTGCCCCTTTGGAAGCGCCTCAGTGGCCGACAGCTGGGCCGGAGCTCGGCCAAACTATCGGGCCGGTTGTTCTCCGAGTCGGTTTGGAAAGTCTTCGGGGAACGCGTGAGAGGGCAAGAATAGGAGGAGGGGGAGGAGGAGGGAGGAGGAGAAGGAGGAGGAAAAGGGAGGAGGAGGAGGAGGAGGAGGAGGAGGAGGAGGAGGAGGAGGAGGAGGATACCTCTTGGGCCCCTCTTGGGGCACTCTTGGAGCCTCATGGGGGCTTCCCGGGCGCCTTTTGGACGGTTTTCGAAGGCCTTTGGGGGCCTCTTTGGCCGTCCGAGCGCGTTCCTAGCTTGTCTGACGCCGTCGGAAGCCGTCTTGGGGGCCTGCCTGGTCGTCTTGTGGCCCTCTTGTGGCATCCCAGGGCCGTCGTAGAGGCCATCTTGGCCGTCTTGCAGGCCTCTTTGGGGCCGTCTTGTGGCCCTTTTGGGAGCCTCCTGGGCTGTCATGGGTCCATCTCCGAGGCCTCGTGGACGATCTTGGGGCGATCTTGGGGGCGTCTTGGGCCGTCTTGCGCCGTCGGAATGCCGTGAAGAAGCAAGTGCAACACTCCTTCGAACCCCCGAGGGAAATCTATGATTGTGGCCTCTTCGGGCAATCCTGGAGGACCTCTAGGAGGCCTCTTGGGCAGTCTTGGGGGCCTCTTGGGTCTTGGGTGCCTCTTGGGTCGTCTTGGGCTATCACGAGGCCGTCTTAGGCCGTCTTGGGTGCATCCTGGGCCGTCTTGGAGGCATCTTGGGACCATCTTAGCCGTCTTGGAGGCCATCTTGGCCGTCTCGGAGGCCTCTCAGGGCTCTCCTTGGGCGGTCATTTGGGGGTTCTTGGGCCAAGGGCACTGTGGCGGATCTTTTGATCGCCGTTGCTGCTGTTTCCCCTGCGCGCCCCCGCGCGCTTGGTGCCGCTCCTGCCGCGGGGCCTATCGGGCGACCGCGGCGGCATGGCCCGCAGGCGCGCGGCCGCTGACGACCGACGACGACGGCGAGGACGACGACGACGACGGCGGCGACGACGAGGATGAGGAGGACGACGATGGCGACGACGACGATGACGATTGCGACGACGATTGGGGGGGCTCCGGTTTCGATGGGGGGCGGGTTCTGTTCATTTCGGGGGGATTTGCTAATCGGAGATCTCACTGCGTTCTGAAGCCAAGCGCTCACCGTTGGAACTGCGGCCTCCATCAGAGTTCAGCAATCTGTACTATCTTGTGGTAAGTAACGGAACGTTTGTGGCTCTGATGGTGCTTTGCGAAGCCAATTCTTGACGCTTCGTGTATCCCCACTCCTGCTGCGCCCTTATCTGTCGGTGGATCAAGGGACTGACGCATCACAGTTGTGGAAGTTTCTTTCTGCCCACTCTCATTCCACACCCTGGATGCGTATACTGACGTTGCGATGTTCTGTTTCGCCGTCAGGTCTTCCCGTTGGACATTGTCGCCAGACAGTCTGTGTTACCCGTCAGACTCCCTGGATAGACGTCTTCGGGACCGTTCCTACCCGTTCGACTCGAACTGTTGGGAGCGCCTTACGCGCCATTTTGGCTGCGCTCGGCTTCCTCGGTGCCTGTGTTCAGACTCCCTGGATGCGCCGTTGCGTGACCCGTCCTGGGACTGCCCTGCAGACTCCCTGGATTGCACGCCTTGGCTCAGACGCCCCGGGTAGCTGCTGCCCGCCGCCTGACCGCGGTTTCGCGCGCGCCCGCCGCTAGTCGCGGCCGCAGCCCGCCCGCGACTGCCCGCCGCCGGCGCTTCCGCCTGCGGCCGTTTAAAAAGAAGTATCCCCACTCCTGAGAGAGGGTCTGGAGCCACTATACCACCACGTGGTCAGGTGCCCTCCTGACAGGACGACGCAAGGCCAGACCCCGGGCGACTCACATATAGAGACCCTCCAGGTTGGGGTTCAAGCCGCTTTGGCGACCAACAACAACGGAAACACCTGGAGGTCCAGCGAGGCGTCCGACTCCGTGCACATCCCAATTTCTTCTGCCGCCACCTGCATCGCTCTGACAATGGCCGCAGACGCGGCAGCAGCTCTAGGATACAGAGCTGGCCTCAAGGGGGGAGGAATCCTCTTACTGAAGACCCCCGAAAGGGTAACTGCACCCATACTGCGATACCTTGAGGAGAAGCTTCCCTGGGTATTCGGACCAGCGAGCGGCTTTCCTGCGCGCTGCGCCCGAAGGATCCACATGGAACGGAACTGGGGCGGCGGCCCATCATTCATCAGACTCACCGACCCGGAGGAAGGCCACCACCTCCGATGGAACCTCGCAGACCTTGGGCAGCTTAGTCGTCAAGAAATCATGGGTGCAGTAGAGGCCACAATAGGCTCTGGAACGGTCGAGCAGGTCTCCACGGTGTTTTGCCTGGTTCCCAAACACAGGCGAATACACCCACATGACGCAGGTAAGGATCCGTCTCAGTGCCGCTGCCAACATGTCGGCAGCCTTCTGCGGGACCAGCTGCATCACAGTGGGGTCGCAAGTGGTGAGGATATTCCCGGCCACCCCTTCAAGAAAACAGATCAGAGGGGGCACGGGAACTCCCAGGGCCCAAACAGAGGACATCGCAGCCATAGCCGAGGAGGCAGTTCGGCAGGCCCCCAGAAGGGCAGTACAGCCGCATATATGGGAGATTGCAACGTTTGACAAGCAGGGGAGGCAGGTCGGCCCCCCCCGCCCGCGGCCAATGCGTCCGGACCCGTGGGTCCCCAGCCGCACCAGGCTCAGGATTTTCTCGGCCTCAATCGGCTCCGCAGGAGCAAAATTGCACACCAGGGCGTGGCCACTCCCAGAGGGAGTGGACAGTAGGGAAAAAGCGAGCCTGGTAAGAGCCCCACCCCCGGACATCCACGAGGAATGGCTACGCGAGGTGGACAGCACCATGAGCGGGCCGCTCGCCACCAGGAGGGTGACCGCAGAGAACAGGGACGGACTACGGGGCTGCAGCACCATACTCCACCCAGGAGAGCACCTCTCAGCAGCGGTTGCGACAGGAGGGGCAATATCCATCATCACCTGTGGGGAGTATGGCCACCTGTACACGTCGACCCCCATGTAGGTCACCATCGCCCTACCAGCTGAGGCCGACCTGAGAGCAGCCTACAGAGGCGCCGCCCGCCCGCATATAAGGGTAACCATTCAGTTGCTACACGGACCCGTGCATCTAGCAAAGCGGGGCGCCGCGCCGGCACCTGCACCGACCCCCGACGAGCTAGGAATTGGCACCAGCCAACCTCACAGCGCGACCATACCTCACAGAAGACACGGTGCGGTGGATTCACTCCCAGGCCCGGCTCGCCCGAGAACGTACCCCCCCTCGCAGAGGTGCTCACGTACAAAACCCGTCACAGGACGCAGACAGGAGGCACCCTGGTCAGAGCAGAAACCGATGCAGTAGCGTGCGCACAAGGCATGCTCGGCCGGCTCCAGGCGTGCATCGACGAGCAGAGCATTCACGACCTGGCAAGAAGCATGCAAACCAGATTGGTATTGAAGCAGAGACGACAGGAAGAGGGTAGACCCATCAGAAGATATAACTGGGACCCCTTTGCAGCGATCTGGATCCTTCAGCTGGCGGACCCGGCCATGCTGGACAGGGGCCACCTCCACCAGCTCATCAGGGAGCTTGGAATAAAGGAGGAGGTCACCAGGCAGCTCCCCTTCGCGCAATGGCTCTCCCCGGAACCAGACCCCACATACACTGCCCATCACCCTTGGCTGGAGGTCCCAGGGAGCAGAGGGGCAGACGTTGACAGTGACGCAGGACCCAGGATGGCCTCAGGTACGCTTGAAGGTATCCAAACCCTAGACGAGAGGCTCCGAAGGGCCGCCAGCCAGGATAGACTGCGACAGGACCCGGGAAGAGCGCCCAGGCCACGAAGGACCTCCAGAAGCAATCAAGTGAACCCCACTAGTGAGGCCAGAGTGCGGAACGCACGGGCCAGGCAGGAACTGCCACGGAGGACGCGCGACTGAGGGCAAGGCGGCCCTCGAACAGAGGACCGTGCGCACGCACAGGGCGTGCAGACCCCTCCCAACGGCCCTTCGAATCGACAATCAAACCCCTCCCCTGGGGTACAGACAGGCACCCCGCAGACCGGGGGCCAGGGCAGCCAAGGGGCCCAGTCCCCAACGGGAATCCCTGGACACCGTGAAGGGGGAGGCATCGGCGAGGGCAGCGCCACTCCGTCGGCATCTCCAGGAAACGCCCGCGCGAGCGCCACCCCAGACACGGGGGCGACAAGCGCCCCCAGCCAGGAGAATGCGGGCAGGCGCCACGGGGCAGATCACGCAGGTCAGCAGAGCCCGCGACCTCAGGCTCCACCACGGGCTGGAACACTGACGGGAGCGCAGCGCCAACAAGGGCAATGCCCGCAGCGCCCGGCCCCTCAGCGAAGGGAGACAGGGACCACACACCCGGTGTCATTTACACCTGCCCCCCAGACGGTCAGAAACCTCCCCGCAGGTAACGCCGAAGGGGGGCGGCCCAGCCCCGCAGGGGCCAGCGGGCGAGGCCCTAGCAGAAGGCGCGCCGCAAGCACAAGCGGGGGGACCATGGCCTCTTCCAGACAGCGTTGCCCGAACACCAAGCGGATACCCGCTCGGGAGAGGCGATGCCCCCAGAGCAAGCGCACACCTGCCGCCCTGCATGCGGCGCCAATGGGGGCAACTCCTTGGCAGCGCGGCGGAGACGCTCCGCACCCTCGGCCCTCCGACCCAATGGGCCGGGCTGGGTTGCGCAGGCGAAGTGAAATGGAGGACAGTACTAAGCGCCATAGCCTGGGGCACTTGTATGCCGCAACTTGAGAAGCAATTGCGACAAGTGTTCACCAGGGCATTTATCTCGCACAGGTTGATCGCTCCCTTCAAGGCGCTCTGGGCGCGCCATCCACCAGTTTGCACGAGGGGCCCCAATGGAAGGAACGTGGTATCAAGAAGCGCAGCCCTAACGGCGGATGACGCGTGCGCACGCCTGCAAGACGCGACAGGCAGGGGCCCCGACGCTGGCGGACCCGTCTGCCCATTTTCCCCCCT